CGTTGGCATCGGCCGCCGCACGGGCTCTGTGCACCCTTCTGCCTTGGTCCTTCTGTATGTTCAAGCCGTGTGCTCTAGTGCTGAACATACAGATGAATATGTCTGTACTTTTTTTGAGTGTTTTTTTTTAGTTCTGAAGGGATGTTACTGGGTTGTTGTCCATAACTGATGGGGAAGAGGTAATTATTTTTTATAGGCAACGTTTGCCAGAAGTCTGTTGTAGCAAATCCTGTTATTTATCTTTTCATCTTGGCCCTGTGATGCAACAATGGAGTTGAGCTATTTTTTTAAAGTAGGCTGGTTTATAAATACTATTTTCTGTACCTTCCCTAAGTTGCGAAAGAAGATCCAGTGGAGGTCAAGATATATCTTTCTATAGTGTTTAAGAAAACCCCGTGTTTCTTATATTAAAGGCTCTTTAATTGTATAAATGTGTATTTAAACTTTACTGAAATGACATTAGCTCCAAAGTGAGCTTGTTTTCACAGCCTTTCCTTTGTTAAGGAATATGTAGGTAGTGCTCGTGTTCTTTTAGGCTAGCAGGGTGGTATCAGAAGGGGCAAAAAGGTGAGGAAGACTTGCAAGCTTCCTGCTATTGTGGCAGGGTTAGATTTGCAAGAAAATAAAATGCATATATATTACCACTTCTGAAAGGGTAAAGGAAGATGAGCTCTATTTATTTCCCTCTCAAAACATGTGCTTCACCAGTGCTACTGTAAGGACGTATGTGGAGCATTTGAACTAATGGAAGCAGAGCTACTGATTGTCCCCAGTCCTTTGCTAAATGGAAAGCAGGGCTGGCTGCCTTCACTAAGGTGACACTGATATTTCTTAGAGCCTTTGCTCTACTTTGAGAAGGATAACGAATCCGTTATTAAGACGGATTTATGACTGATTTAAACTTTTACCTGGAGCTAAATAATTTCTGAGAGATTGAAACAGGTTACTGTGATGCTTGCATCAACCTTTTGTGTTTGGGACTTCGGGCATGGTTAAGGGACTGTCTTTCTGCTTCCAAACCTGAATTTCACTCTGCTGCTCAACTAACTTGCAGATGCTGGCATATTAGGTTTATGTAGAATCAATGCTGTGGGTTTTTCTGGTTTACGTGGCTCAGGTAATGTGATGATTCCTTTGGTGAATTAAAACAAATTCTCAGTTTAAGAAATAACGTCTCAGCTCATGCTCATTGTCTTTGGTTTTGATCAATACTGATAAAACAATAGTTATGGTTTAGTGGCTCACTGAGCAGCAGTAGGAGGCTGAGTGCTTTATAGTGCGTGTCAGACACTCGATGCTCTGCATAACATTACTCAGTGGTCTTACTGCCAGTTGTCTGATGGAAAAGTTGGCAACCTATTGTAAGGAAAATTGCATCAGATTTGTTGTGATAAATGACATAGAGCTAGGTATATTTTTAATGTTGGGGCAGTTTCGTTGCCCCACGATGGTAACAGAATCACCTGATTTCTGCAAAATGTTAACTTTCAAAAGATAATAGCACAATAGTTACAAATGCAGTGTTTCTATAAAATACTGTATTTCCAGAGGAAATCTTTGCCATGCAGGAGCATATTAAACTGCGATAGAGTAACACAAGAAAACTGGAAAGACTCTAAGAAAAATCATTTAATTTAGACTGCATGTGATATTATAAACACTGCTAATCTGAACAGAAAACACTTTTTCTTGCTGTTGTAGAACAAGAACAGATACACAAAAATGGAAACTCAAAAGCTGCAGAAAAACCAGTGTGGTAAGATACCTAATATAATTTGTCATTTATTATCTGCGACAATTTTACAAGATTTTAGTAGACTGTGATAGGTCTGTCATGCAGTGGTGAGCCGTCAGGGAAATGTTCTTTTTCCTTGTTGCCAAATTTTCAGATTCTATTTTGGACAGTGAAGGGCAAATCTAATGACAAACTTTCAAACTTTTTTTTTTGGCTAATATTTACTCACATTTTTATGATATTTTAACCTTACAAGTGTTTAATATACACAATATCTGCTGTTACTCTTGCAAATAATTATCAAATAAGTCTTTCTATTATACCCAAAAGACTAAGAAGCAGATTTTCAAAGTGGTTTACCTACCTAGGGTTGTATGTAGGTGCCCAGAAGATGCTTTGTGTTAACTTGCTAACCTAACAACCTGATTGAAGATTCTAGCTGCTGTGGTAAGTGATGGAGTCTTCTGTGACTGAGTATCACATAGCAAGCCTTGCTTTGTTGGATTGTTTCCCTATTCGCTCTGTATATTTTGAATTGTATTTTCACTCCAAATATTTTCATGGCTCTGTAGTGTTCACTTAAATACATTTAATGTACCTTGCTATTGTGAATTTAATGTTTAGCAATATACATCATATTTACTAACAGTTACTAGTAATTAAAGGCCAATCAAGGCTGTTACTTTAGCAAATGAAATCATGCTCAAATAACAAACTCTGGAGAGCAATATTTTGAGGCTAAGTATGTTTGTTATTTGTAGATGCATAGAAGTGGCATAGCTCCATTTTTGCTTATGTATGTTTGTTTTTTAAAATACATATACATGCTATGTTTTTGGGCAGGTTTATTGTAATACTAAATAGATTGATATAAAGAAAAGATAACAATTTTCATAAAGTCTTTTTGTATTTGCTCTTAGATATGAAAACAGATCTGAACTTACTGCTTGAATGCCTTAAATACCAGATGGACTGCCCTGTATCTCAGAAAGAGGCTTTGATCACTATTTATTCAATTTGTCAACAAAACAGTAAGGAGCGTTTTTCTTTAGAAACAACGCAATCATTAATGTTCACAATGCGTGCTAAGCAGCTGTTTGTCACTGTTAAAAAAAATTGTCTAAAGGATATAAGGCTTGAGAAGTTATAAAATCTCAGAAGGTTTTCATTTTACAGAGAAACACAAAAGCTTAATTTTTATTCCTTTTTCTGTTACAGGTGAAGCAAGCGAATATTTTCGAGAAATTGGTGGTTTGATGTTTATAAATGATCTGGCAAAGTCAAGTGTTCATTGCATAGTAAAGGAAGCAGCTTTATTTACATTAGGAATTATAATAGAGAGTAATGGTAATGATAAATAATATGATTTGTATTTCTGAGTGAATTACGATCCCATGTTATTACTTCTTCTTGTGCCTTGTCTCTATCTTTTGTCTCAAAAATTCAGATTACAAAAGTATCAGCTCAAGCAAGGGGCAGTAAAGGTGCCACTGTTTCACTGTCCGTTCCCAGATTTGGAGAAATACCTTGTGGATGTGTGCAGACAACACGTCTTTATGATACCAGACAGCTGTACTACTTCTCTTCCTTAGCAGCAAGCGTTAAATGCCTCATAGATTGTTCCAAAGTTTGCCTAGGTCCTGACTGGTTTAGAACTGACTGCAGGGGGAAGCCCTCAGTCACTTTATAGCCCTGGTTTGCCTCCATTCGCCACATACTGGACGCAACTGAGGCTCCAGTTACTACATTACAAAAATAATTTAGGATTGTGAATGGCTTGCTTTAGGACTTAATGGTTTTTATTTTCTGGTTTCAGTTTATTGTCAAGAAACTTTGTGTACTTCTGCATTATTTGAAGACCTCATTTTATTTTTAATTAATAAGGATTCTGGTGTGAACTTGAAAAGAATGTCTGTTTATGTCATCTTAGTACTGGTTTCAAATAATAGTAAGTTATTTTTCTGTGTTATAACACTGTTTTTTGCTATTTGCCAATCTGCAGTACAGGAATTTGGAACACTCCATAAGTAACATTTTGGTAAAGTTAATTTATAAAGATGAATGTTTGCACGTAACTGAACCTGAATTGTGTAAGTAGATCATCACTTACTGGTATTTCCTTAAATAGCATAAAGTGTTTTAATTCTAAAAATTAAATTACAGTTTAAAAAAAAATATATATCTAATGCAAACCAGTAGTTTCTGACAACGTATAGAAAAAAAACGACATAGAAAGAAATGGAACGTTTTTCCAATGTGTTGGTGTGATTTTGTATTTGTCTTTTGGGGGAGACATATGCTTAGGAGATAGAAGTAGAACATATATATGTAAATTAAACTTAACATTAAGATTTTGTCTCAAGTTGCATGCGTGTTCAGTCTTGTATGTGTTCTTTTTTAGAAAGTGGGCAAACTTATGTCAGAGATACAGGCTGCATTGGTCTTCTGCTACAGTTGTTCAGGTAAACAAACAGTTTCAATTTCAACAGAAAAATGATGAACTATTTAGAACTTATGTTTGCTTAGCTATTTGGGACTTGTTTGCCTTGTTCTTAACAGGACAACTCTTTCCACATCTGAGATGAATCTGTCAGATGAAAACACTAACCAGTGCTATCAGCTGTGGTCTTCAGTCTGCAGTACTCTCTGTGCCTGTGTCAACAATCCTCAGAATGGTAAAGTGTTGCTGTTAAAATTGTGAAAAAAGTTTAAAGAATTTATCCAAAGCAACAACAGCTTGTTTTAATTTTTTACTGTTCAACTGAAATGTCATATTACATTTTGATTTTAGGTTATTTGTTTTTACTTTTCCAGAAGATAATCAAAACATTTGCTGTTCAGTTTTTCCATATGCCAAAGAATGGCTCGAAAGTTGTATAGAGCCTGAGATAGTTCGTCCTATTTGTTCATTTGTTGGTCTCACAGTTGCAAACAACTGTAAGTGCAGCTCAAGCTTTAAATAGTTTTTATTTTGTAAAAGTAAGTTTAATTTGATAGGTAAATGTTTGGGGTTTTTTTTTGTCAGTCGCTACAAATTGATTTGCTATTCTTCCAACTTTTACTCTGAATACTGTGTCCCACCATCTTTACTTACGCTGCATTGTGCTTAAGGCCACAAATAGCCACAAACTGGCTACATTTAGTAAGGCCCGAAAAAACTATTTGGAAGCTTTTTTGATTAAAAGTATTTTACAAATATAAGTCATTATGACATCTCTGAAAACATTTACTTAGAACTAGGGCCACATGTTTCCTGTAACTCTTTTATAAGACAATTACTACATTTCTTGAGATTAATATATATCCAACTTCTGTTGTATGGGTGGAAATGTAATGATTAATATGTGCACAGAAAAATTGTGATAAGCCTAACTGATAAAATGCTAAACCAGTTTGCAACTTGTATTATTTAAGACACCTTTTTTCTTTTTTTTCACTAAGCATACGTGCAGAAATATTTTGTTTCTGTTGGAGGATTGGATATCTTAGCTAAAGTTCTCATCAAACTTACGCACGATTCCTGTATGAGTCAGTCAAGCACAAAACTTGCAGTAGTAGTAACAAAGACTTTGGATGCCTGCATTGCTAATGACTGTGAGTGAAAAGACCACGACTGTTTTTCATAGATGGGGATTTTAAAGTGCAATTTTTAAAATCTGTTTTTGGTGGAAAAGTGATATTAATGGATGCTAAAAGGCAATTAAGTTACATAAATCCCAATTGATATTGCAGACTTTTTTTAAATTCAAACATGTATATGGGGAATGATTCAGTTCATCTGAGGTGGGTTACTTTCCCATTGTTGCTTAAATAAACATAGTGAAATTTAAACTATACTAAAAATTTAAAATAAGATACTAGAGCTAGTTTCATGCGAGTAAAGCTGAGAATGGGGTGTGGCAGTCATCTTGGATCCTGGAGTTAGCGCTGTGTCTCTGTAGGCCTATGCCTAAGCTACTAAACTTTGTAAGCTTTAAGAGTCTTTAGTAACTCAGGCGTGGAACTGAACAAATGTGGTATGTCAGCATAACACGTCTTTACTGTCATTTACTGTTGGGATACTTTTATCCTAACAAAGTCCTTGTGTATATGGTCAGAAGATTTTGAGAAACCTGTGAGCTTGATGAATCTGTGCTGCTTGTCATGATTATATTTGACACTTCTGCCATAAGTGCTTGCTAATGGAAGTTCAAAAAAGTTTAAAATCGTATACCTACACTAGTTTTGAGCCTAGTTTCAAAGAAGCTGGTATGTGACAGAATTAGGTTTCAGCATGTACGTACTAGCAGCAGTGTTCCCAGTTTCAGGAAGAGGTTCACTTCTACCAGAAACATTCCTAGCTCTTTTTTGGCATATAGTCTGTGTGTCAAACTCTTTCTTGCTCTATTCTGGAGCCGGTAAAGAAGGTGGAGAACCTCAGTGGAGGTCTACAAAACTTGCATATTGCAAAGCCCTTGTTTATCAGATCTTCTACCACATCTCTGTATAGCACAACCTGGGAAAGAGGGCAGTGTTGGATATGGGGAGTAGCACGGGCAGAATTACTGCACCGGGAGGGATGTGGCAATTGGAAGTGTTAAAATGAAAGAGAGAGGAGGATTCTGCAGGCCCAAGGCTTTTAGAGGTCTGTAGCATTTCCTTGAAAAACAGTGTTTTATACTTGGATGATGCTTGTATACATACTGTCTAGTTTATTTTCTTCAAATTATTTTTAACATAATAGCTGCCATGGGTGTTGTCTTGACAAAGTATCACACTGTATCAGAGCTACTGAAGCTGCTGTCAAATGACACTCTGGATACAGGAGAAAAAATCAGTATTATTCTAACAATTGGACACTGTACTGAAGTTTGTGGTAAGGTTTTTTCTTTCTTCTTTTGGTCAGTTTCTACAAAGTTCTCATACTCACTAGTTCAATGGTGTCATTTCATCACAACTGGACCATGAGGAAAAGTTCTATTAAATAATATTAATATTCAGAAAAAAATGTTTGCCATAATGTTCCATCTTTAAATTTTAAAATCTGTTAGCAGATAATACCTTTAAGAGCTTAGAAAAGGTAGGCTATTGTGCAAGAATTCAGAGCTGGGCTTAGGTATCACAGGGTAAAATTAATTCAGACCTGAAAATTACTACAATACATACATACCAAATAAGTCTTTTGAGCTTTATTTTAATGGCCCTTTATTATACAGCTTCTTTCCACTGTTTGCATAGCTATTAATTTTTTAAAAAGCTATATAACTATTGTTTTTGAAGTAGCTTAAGCAGTAGGTAATCTCAAAATGTTTTTGCCAGGCTCCTCAGGGCTTTCGCAAGCAAATCTGGTGAAAATACAGCACTGACATTGTATTTTAGGGTAGCACAAGCGAACAAAATGGGAGGTTGTGAGATCCTGATCATTGTCTATTTATACTACTGTTTTTTCTCATGCATGTCCAGAAATGCAAGGAAAAGGAATTATGTTTAAAAAATCCTGATTGATTCTCATCCACTAAATGTCAATAACAAGTTCAATAAGTAGCTCAGTAGGTCATAAATCTGGTATTTTAAAAGACACTTTTTCATGAATAATTAATTGAAACAAAACTTAATGGAAAATATCTTTCAAATAGAAATATGATTAAACCAACAGAATAAAAATTTCTCTTAAAATGTTGTCCTAGTTTTAGCTGGGACAATGTTAGCTCTTCTTTTTAACAGCTAGAAGAGCTCCGTGTTTCGGTTTTACTCAGAGGCTCACTCTGAGAAGAATGCTGATAGCAAGTTGATGTTTGTGGTTGGACGTGAAACTCCAAGGACTTTTCAGTGTGCCGGAGTGCAGAAGCACGGCAGGATAAGGGGGGAGCATAGCCGGGACAAGGGGGACACGATTCCCCTTGTGATTTGTGGTGGAACTTAAGATTGAGGGTCAAACTGGCCAATTAATATTCCATATCATGCAGCGTCATGCCCAGTATAAAAGTGAGGGTCAGCCGGACAGAAGGGCTTTTGCGCTTTGGCTCTTTTGCCGCTTTTGCTCTTTTGCGCTTGCTGCGCTTTCGCTCTGTTGCCTTTTCTCTCTCTCTCTCCCAGTACTCCCACTCTCGGAGTACTCTCTCTCTCTGCCCCTCTCTATTTCGGGGCCTCGCGTTCGTCCGGGATTTGCAGCTTCGGGACGAGACGGGCTTCGCATACAAGGGGGTGGTGAGCATCTACACTGTGTATTAAATCATCTGTATTAAATTGTTCTTATCTCAACCCATGGGTTTCCCGTTTCTCCTTTAATTCTCTCCCTCATTCCTGGGGGTGGGGGAGGGGGAGTGACCGGCTGTGTGTGGGATTCGGCCTAACCCACAACAAATGTCAACACTGACAAAATTATCGTATTTCATCTTTTGTTGATTCCTTTTTTTTGCTTTATCAAGTTTAGACAACAAAGAACTATTTTTAGAAAGTTGTCAGTTTTGTGAATACATACTGGAAATGAGATCACAATAAAAATATTTAGCTAATTACATAGTTCATGAGAAGGAACGTATTAGCTAGACCAAGATTAAAATATGAAAATAGTTTTATTTGAGTTTTGCTAGTAATAATAAACTTTAGCTTTTGATATTTCTGCATCTCAAGACTGACATAAATGTAGCGTATATACTTTAGGAGTGTATACCAGAGGAAAAGAAATACAGAAGGCGTAATTCAAGTATTTTAGGTGAATTAAATTAATTTGGATCTCCATCATGTAATTTGTCTCAGTTTTCCTTCAGTTTTCTTACAAGATCTTTGACCTATGGTCAAATCATCCATCTTGTGTGACCCAGACTGCTTCTGCTGCAACCTGGGCAGTAGGTCGTTACAGCATGCTTGGATCCATAATGAAAATCTCTTTTTCAGAATTTCCCTGAAAGTTACTAGTATTAGTTTCTAAAATTACTGTAAGATTAAGTGTGTATGAGGCTGAAACCAACCTATTTTCCTTTACAATGTCCTATTTTAGCAGAAAACCAGTGCGAACTGCTCCAGAACAATGGTCTTCCACTTATGATTCAGATACTAACCGAGTCGCAGGATGAGGAACTAAACAAAGCTGCTACTTTTGTGCTGCAGAACTGCAAACAAATGAGTAATCTTACTGTTATTGCTTTAAAAATTACAGAGATGACTTTCATCTTTAAGTTCTGTTGACTCTCTAAATTATTTTAACTGTAGCAGCTTTGTAATTCTGTGTACTCTGAGATGTTTGTTTTCTGCAGAAAAGTTGCGTATTTGCCACCATGGACTGATCATAGCATTTTGGCAGAAAAAGAAAAGATAATAAATAATTAATCACAAGCTCACCTTTTGTAACTTCAGTTTATATTTGAAGTGTATTAACATTTATGTGTAAATTTAATTTATATCAAAATATTATTTAGAGGTTTATATTTAACATTAAATTATTGGGGTTGTCCCTCAGCATACTAAAATATAATAAATACTTAAGGGGTTCATTGATAAAATTTAGAATATTAATGTTGTTTTGTATTTCATGAAGCTGAACAATTGTTCCTGAAAATAACTGATAATTCATTAAACGTGAACAATGCAGAAGAGTTGGAAGCGCAAGTCAGAGAAAGAAGTCTACAAGACTACTGGAAGAAAGCAGAAGAAATATTACACAGAATAAACTTGATTGAAAAAGAACATGATGAGGTTGGCCTAGTTACCAAAGTAGGATAAAACTAAGCAAATCTTTCCAGAGTTTAGGGAGAAATAAAAAGTAAATCCTTAAGATAATTTCAGTGTGAGCTAGAAAAGTAGGGAAAACATTGGATGTGTGTGAATTTACCATTACTGTATATCATGCAAAGTGAGCAGTATGCAGGGCAATCGAAGAATGCAGGCATCTGAATTTTTATGGAGCGTTTTAGTTTATTATAAAACCAGATTTTCTGCAAAATGTAGATCAGTTAGGTTGGAGAAACAAGAGTTGGATTTGTTTTTAATTCCTAATCATTTGAACCTATAATTTTAATATATGCGTGCATGAAATGCTCATGATTGTGCAGGTATGACGAGATAATAATGGAAAATGTGAACATAAACTGAAATTAAGCTGTTTCACATTTTCCTTGTGCTGTATAACTACTTGGTATCTCTGGGTGTGGAACAGCAAGTTTTTGAGTTATTTAGCTAGGTCTTAAGTTAATTAAATCTTTTCATTTCTAGAAGTGCCTTGTAAAGGGTTGTCAGCCATTGGAACAGGCTGCCCAGGGAAGGGGTTGAGTCGCCATCCCTGGAGGTATTTAAAAGAGGTGTAGATGTGGTGCTTAGGGACACGGTTTAGTTGTGGTCTTGGCAGTGCCAGGTTAAGGGTTGGACTTGATAATCTTAGAGGTCTGTTCCACCCTAAATGTGTCTATGACTCTATTAGTAGCAAATCCATTGCTTCAGCCTGGAGCTGTCACTTAACTACCCCTTCAGCAGCACTGCTGTTTTGTTGGCTCTAAACTCAACCAGGGGTTATTGAAGCTTCTCTGGGATTTGCTTTACCTTCAGAGTTAGACCGGTCTATCCTAGTTAATCTTGTTACTGCGCTTATTTAATATTTTTATAGAGTTCATATAGTCACTAACTAGTATTTTTCAATGCAGGAAAGAGCGCAAGGAAGAGTATTTGTAGATGGATCTTCAGACGCCAATATTGAAGCATCAAAATACCATGAAGTGAATCCTTCTAATCCAAAAACTTGTATAGAAAGAACACATAAAGAAGTACAATGTCTACAGTTGACCCCTAAGTCAGATGATCAGGTTCTTGCTCCATCTATAAATTGGTCTCCACTGAAAAATGAAATAGCAAACCCTACGGATCCATTAAATGCTTCTACTAGACAAAGTGAACAGTGTAATATTCCGTGTGCAGTTAATGAACTGCAAACAGGCAACAGAGTACTTCGAAATCACAGTATAAATGAAAAAACTGCTTGTGTAAAAAATCAGCCTATTCTTCCAGTAAGGTAAGTATCTTACACCTAAGCAGCAATACTAAGCCGCTTTTCTTTAGTAATTTCCAAATTGAATGTCAACCTTTTAAATTATCTGTCACTAACTATGTCCTTTTCTCCTAGTGAAAGGACATAGCCTTTTGGTGACTCACTAGAGAATATTCTGTGGAAGTGTTTTTGACATCACAGATTATAAACGTAGTAATAAATGCTTCTGATATTTTCCTCTGAATGGTAGGCTTCCGAGGGATTGTATAGAGAGCCTGTTACAGGTTGTGTTCTAATGCTTTCACCATTGTGATGAAAAAGCATCCATGGTTTTTGCCTCAAAACTCTCACTGATTCAGTAGATCAGGATTGGATCCATTGGTTTGGATGAAACTGCAAAGATTTCTGTAATATGCACTTACCAGGAAAACCACAGTTACAGAACTGCTCTGCAAAGATTTGAAATTGGAGAGCGTACAAAGTAGGCAAAAATTGCTCCTCCCACCTCGCTTTTCTCCCCTCGTGTTCAGTTGTTTCCCTGCATGGGAAAAGAAAGATTCAGCCTTGTTTAGTCATTCACTGTTTTCTTGCTTGTTGCTCTAACACAAATGCTTATTTTCCTTTTTCTTCTGATTCTTATAGTTTTCTTTACTATTGATAAACAAACAAAAAAAAATTATAGGTAACTTGCAAAGATAAATACAGGATTCCATTATCTTGAATTTATATCTGGAATACACCTCAAGATGGGCAATGACTGAGTATGAACAAAACTGTTTCTTCTTTTTTTTTGAGTTCCACATATCTATTGTGCTTTTATGTGGCTGGCTGGAGCCTGCTGCTGTGCAGGTTCCTTGCATTCTATCGTAGCTTTGCAGCTACCGCAGAAATTAGGAAGCACCTAGGATATTCTCCATGGCACGTTCAGGTAAATTTTGCTTTGCTACTGATTAGCATAATTCCACACAGCTTCTTTATTTGTTGTTCTGACCTCTGAAGCACAAAACTACCAAAAAATATTTTTTTTTGGGGGAAAAAAAGCTCTGTCCTTGAATGTGTATTTGTGTGAAAACAGGAGTTACCCAAGCATAACCGTGGATTAGGCTCCTTGCTCCTGCAGCATTTGGAGGTAGTCAATGAACAGAAAATGCATGATCACCGGATCATAGGAGCACGTTGGTTGCAGAAAAGTTAATCAGTGTAAGAAAAGAAGAAAATCAATTACCTTTTAGAGCAACTGCTAGACGTGGTGAAGGCTACAGTATTTTGAAGACTTTGTGAAAGTTTTATGTGCACTAAGTAATCTTCAAGTGAACTAGAGTTGCAAATGACTCTGGAAACCAGCATCCCTTGAAAGTGCTGCATTCCAAATGCTGGAGCAGACATGCTGGACAGCGCTGCAAGGAATGCAAATCCCAGACCGCTGGTAAACACACTTCTGACACACAGTGACTATATGCTGGGTACTGCAAGCCCAGTAACTTGCGAGAATTAGAATAAATGCCTTGGATTTTTTTTTATATATTTAATGTGAGTTTTGTTTTGCCTTTGGAATATGTGTCTTAATTTACAGGTAAATGTATGTTGTGAAGTTTGACGATTATTTTTTTTAATTTGTTCGCATTTTGATCTTACCAGTGAACACTTATTTAAACAACCAGCAGAGATTGTTAAAAATATGAAACAGACATGCACACCAGGTACAAATACCTAAACATATTCCTTTCTTAAATAATTTTGTTCTTAATGAGATTTTAATTAGTTTTGAATACTTTTAGCACTACTTTTTATCAGATGTTTTATATAATTTGCTGACAGAGTACATTATGTATAATATCCTTTAACTCTTTGCATGGTTTGGGAATTTTATATTGTATATAATTTTACCAGGAGAGTATTTATTCTATTTTTCTTCTAACACCTATTTTAGCTTCTTTTTTTTAATTGATTTTAACTATTCAAACGAATGTATCACAGATAAATGTTTTAAGTTTAGTCTGAATGCAATCCATAGTGAACAAAGAAAGCCATTAGTGGAAAACATGTAAGGATGCTGGTTTTGTTCTGTACTTGTAATATTGGGGATAGAGCCTCCCTGTGAGAGTGACTTGCCTGAAGCTATTCCTACCTGTTGAACATGTGTTTAAGATAAATGTTTTTCAGATTTGCATTGATCTTCTTAGACAGATATATTTATTTCAGAATTGGGATCTGTTCAATCAAATCTTTATTGGTAATTTAGTTTCCTGTTAATTTATAAAATTTATAATTATTCATTAGATTTAGTATTTGCCAGAATGGTAGCTTTACCAGTGACCAAGCTGATCTCCAGGTTATATCTATTTAAATAGTGAATAAGTATTATTCCAGTGCATCACATTTTTCAGCATCTGATGCCAAATAGAAATAACGCTTATAGCGATTAGTTAAGCAAGGTAAGGTTGCAGGGTTATTTTGCTGTATTCAAGCTGAAGTAATGTGCTGTGGGAGAGTGGTGAAAAAGCACTGAATTAAATGTAATTATTCTGGATTTACAAAAATGTAAATGTGATCCATTTAACCTCAGGAATTTCATTTGGATTTTCTTGTTACGTAAATTAAACTTCATTAACCTACAAATAGAAAATACGATGTAATATAGGTATGCTGATACATGATTACCACGGCAAAGGATAGGTTGCATTTTCTTAAGTGTTTTTTTTCCTTCCTAATTTAGATCAACATTCATTCTACTCAGAGATAACCAAGGAAAAAAAAAGTATTTCAGCTACATCTGCATCTCATAAAATGGCAGATTTAAGGTGTTTAGGTAAATATTGTCTTAGGTCTTTCTTTCCTGAGTCCATAAAAGAAGCCTTAAAGAGTCAGTAATGCAGTAAGTGAACTGACATTGCAGAAATCTTAACACATCTATTTGATTACCTATTATGTAATTCTTAACTGCTTCCTTTCCTTTTTCCGCCCCTACAATAAATCAAAAATATTGAAATAAAGCTTGCATATTCCAGTTTTGATCTATGTATCTTTTCTTAATGTAGGTTTATTAACAAACAATATAGAGCTGTTTAAAAGATGACGCACTACTTACAAGAATACTTAAGAAGAGATGTTTTCATCCTTTCTCTGATCAGAAAAGGGAGAAAAAACATGTAGCCCTGCTCACTTTCCTAATGTATTCTCCTGCTAAGGCTTCTAACTATTCTGCAGCTCTTCTGTTTTCTTTGCCATACTGCTATTAAGTACAGTCAGTTTTATAGTAATCCATGACTGCAGCCCTCGGTTACCCCATCTTCTATTTCCTGAACATGGTCTATCAGTAGGTTATAAGAATGCTACTGGTACTCAGGATTTGTAAGTGGATTTTGTAATCAAGCCTGTGTCTCTTTATTAAAAAAACAAAGCAAAACACAAAAACAAAACCCCACACCAAAACCAACCAAACAAAAGCCCATAACCCACCTTTGAACATCGTTAAGGCATATGAACCCAAGTTGTCAAACTAAATTCAGCCTGAGCTTTAGCACTGCTTTATCTTAAGCTACAATACTGCAGATGCGTACCAGTGCTGCCCTTATACTTCCTCACAGTGCAGAAGTTCTCTTCTTCAGGTGACGTAGCGAACTGTGAGAACATCCAAGAATAACTAAACCATAAATTACCCTAGGAATGTCCTCAAAAACGAAGAGGAAGGCTTCCTGTGAGGAAATTCATACCTAAGCTAGGCTTATCATTTCTTAAGGTCAATACAGATAACTGTTACAGAGACTAAGTTTCAAAGTACAGCAAAGACATCTTTTATGTTTTGGCTCCCGGATGAATGTGCAGAGAACTGAGACCCCTTTCTTCCCATCCCACTAATATTTTTACTTCTGTAGCGGATCTGTGCCTCATTTAGTACTTCTGGAGTTGAAGGTGCAGTATAACTTGGCCCCAGAGGTCATGTTGAAAACTCTTTTTAAATTTTTTTTTAAAGCAAGTATATAACAAGAAGTAAGTATTTTCAAGAAGATATGTAAAAGTGATGCACATCCCTTTTGAGATGGGTATATGGAAAACTGGACATCAAATTGTAGATCATAGTAAGCAAAACAAAACACTGTACTTTATGATGGCTTTTATACCATTTGTGATTGCTGTTTCTATAATATCTTTTCTTTTTCCCCCTAGGTTGTACAGCAGGAGGACTGTCCTTCAATAGTAAAACCTTTACCAAGATGCTGCAAAGTTGTCCATACCAGTGTGACCATCACAAAGTCATTCTGGAAGCTGAAGAAAGATATAAAAAGGAACTTCACAAATTGACTGCTTGTCACAACAGTAGATATGCAACTCATGAGAGTAATTATGATTTTTTTTAGTAGTGTTTTTTTTAAACTATTGTTTTAAATCATATTTAAAATTCTGAACTTTTTCTGTCTGATTCTGATTGTCCTGCTCTTGTAAACTCACTCATTTAATTTAATTACCAATGATTTGTCCTAAGTGAGATCAGAACTAGCTGCTTTTGTTTTGAGGATCTTGTGTATTTCTTGGCAGTAGTGATAGAGCCTTATTACAGCCTTTGATAAGATTCTGTCCTATTTGCTGAAGTTAGTCAAGCACTAATAGAAGGGAATATATTAAGTTGAAATAACTGGGAATGGATGTATGACATCATAACAAGGTCATTTCATTCTAATATTACATACAGATGTCAGAGGCTTATAATTCTTAATTAATTAAATGAAAGTGCATCCTATATTTTTCTGGTTTAAAGGAGGCATTTTGAAAAGTAAAAATTTATTACTTACTGGCATTTGTACTGGTGTCCATCTTATATTTTCCAGAAATACTGCTGACCCCAGTGAAGAAAGGAAGACTGCATACAGAAATAACACCTTTTAGAAGCAAAAAGGATAGTTTCCAAAGTAAGGGCTTGGTTTGGCAAGTAATGCAAAAAGCCCTTACTATTTAAGTAATTCTCTTGCAGGACTTTACCATGGGAGGCTGTGATAGGAAATTATGTTGTTTGTTTTTTTTTTTAACGTGGATTCTGTGAAAATCTGTATAGTAATAGGCCAAAAAATGCATATTCTATAATCATGAAATTGTGTTAGGCTCATGAGTTTACAGAGAAGTTATTTGTAACATGCTTTGTAGATACTGCTTTGAATCCTGTCATGCCATCTGCTATTTTTAATTTCTGTGGCATTAATTTTTAAAATGGAGAGGTATAGTCAGGATCAGAACACAACAGAGTTTCCTGTGCCTGGATTCAGTGTCACACAGTTACAGACATCTCCTTTTATACCTGTTTCTTTTACTGCTTGGAGCTCTGCTAAGGACTTGGGTCTCTGTCTGCTGAATAGCTGAAAGTGTAAACCTTAACACGTACAGCAACACTAGAGCAAGTAACTGAGAACAACTTACAGAGAATTAAGTACAGGAGATGTGTTTGCCTGTCCTGTATTGTGAGGTGCTGAATAAGATGTTATTAACAACGCAGAGAAGGAAAAGTGAATATAAGTTCCATCAGTTTCTGTGGGGCAGTTTAGGAGCTCTATGCTTGCAGAACTATCCGTTGCCCATAAAAACTCGTATTTATAATACACAACAACTGTCCGTTTCTAAATAGCAGAGTACCTATCTTTTACAGTACTTTATTCTGTAAGGTAGCAAAAAAGTTAATGGTTATAGGCTTTTTCCTTACTCTGCAGATATATATTTTTTACACAATTTACAAGGAATTTTCTTCAGAATGTGGTGTTTGTGGGTATATCCTGCAGAGTTCCAACTACAGTCATACATTACTACATTCATCAGCTAGCTACCAATACTGGTTTTTAGGATTGATGACCAGAAATTTTCAAGTAGGCTGAAGCAGCTCTCTAAATCAGAACTTAAATTCTAAAACATTACTTTAAAAAACATTCTCTTTTCAAAAATAAGCCCATGAATTTCTTTAGTTGCTTATTTCCAAAACCTTGTTTACATCATTATTTTATTTAATGAATTTCTGGTAAAAACTAGTATATTGATTTTTTTTTTTTTCTTCTTCAGATTCAGAAATTAATTAATTTGGCTATGACAGCCATGGAGGTCTTTTAAAAATTTAAAATGTAAAAAACCCTAAAGCCGTATTTCATCTCGAGCCCATTACGCTAATATATTACCTTTCAGTAAACTGAATTTTCCAGTCTTTCTTCCAAGACTAAGTAGTAGAATAACTCAAAAGATGGTTCTTTTTAAAATTTTAATTCCTAAAACATTGCCTATGTTTTACGTTTTTTGTGGGGTTTTTTTTGGTTTGCCTTTTTTTTTTTTAAGATGGATGCATACTGTTTTATTTCTTTTTTTTTTTTAAGGTATTCTTTTGACTCCTATTAGAAAAAACAAATCTGATACTTCAAATAGAGATGAATATAGTAAAAATACTAGATTGACTGACAACTATAACTTGATACCTACGTATGAAAAGTGTGAGGATTACCGGAAAGTTAATTCTGTAATAAGCATGTATGAAAAGTGTGAGTATTACTGGAAAGTTAATTCTGTAATAAGCGTAACTTAAAGACCAAGTTTTGCATTAAGGTCCGGGTATTGAGAAAAGCACCTGTGCTCGTTATGGGAAAAAAATGGCTAAGAATTTAAATGGATACGTTCCTGTACCTTCGATCATAGTGTTACTTATATTTGAGTTAATTCCAATCATTTGCTAGTTACTTCCAATGCATAAATAATCCTTGTGTTAATTTCAATGATGAGAAAATGATCTAATGAAAATCAGATATTCCTAATAAAGCAAACTTCACATATTCAAGTTCCTTAGAGGAAATGTTCCTTTACAACACTATATCCAGTTTTACAGTAGATTGCAGTTAGTGTAAAGTAACTAAGAGGTGGCCTTGTTCACAATTTCATAGCTTTCAAAAAAACCCAAGATGCTAAGTTGAAGAGACAAAGAGTCAAAGAAATATGCAACCAGCAATGTCGGCGCTTTAAAGAAAATTGCGTATATTCACTTGACAGAGATGAGGTTAGTCATGCAAAGCCTGATCGTATTTATAAACATCCATGTAAAATCACTATGAATTGCATGGTTTCTTTTTAAGTCACCTTTAAAGGAGCCCGGCAACAAAGTGAACTTTATTAAAAAGGCGTTCCTCTCTGTTGATTCTACTCCAGTCATACTGGTTTATCCCTGAAATAAGTTTTTTTTCAACTGACAGTCCTTTCTAAATAATGGATATGGAGGTATGCTTTTTCCTGCGCTGATGAGAGCTTGTATAGTATAGGAGTAACAGAAACGTAAAGGAATAAACATACTAACGGTGTAAGCTATATAGGCATGACAGAAATGAAGGTAAAGGTCATGGAAAAATACTGTATTTCAGTAAGTGGGTGACAGTGGAGAAATCTTGAAGAACCATTGTTATCTTGACAAAGTGATCATTACTTTAGAACTACCTAAGATTGTATTGTCAGTAGTAATGCATTACTTTCAAATGTGAAATAGTATACAAATTTACATACTTTTTATTAACACCAAAATAAATATCTGCAGAACAACGAATATTCCCTGTACGCGAACACAAGAACTTTAAACAAGAGAAGAAGAACCCGAAAAGATTTCACAACTGAAGAAATTAACTGTCTATTGAATGGAGTGAAACAAATGGGTCATCACTGGAACTTAATTTTGTGGTCTTATCCATTTCAGAAAGGACGGACAAGTGTTGATCTTTCCAAGAAATACTACCGGTTACAGTTGCAAGTAATCACAATTTAATTTTCTACTAATAATATATGCCGTCAGCTCAGTTTTCAGCTTTTTACCCTGAATTGACTTGCAAAAAAAGGACAGGCTATCAGAATTTGCAACCCATGGGGTTGTGCTTTGTGTAAGTTCAATGCTACGCACACTAAGTGTTAGAATGATCTCCAGTGTAATTCAATCGGAGCTGGTGCTTGGAGAGAGAGAACTAAACTGGGAAAATATTAGAGACTCTCTGAGCCTTCCAGTGCCACCTGACAGGAGGCAAAAAAGATAGGAATTTCAGTTAAAAACTCTAAATTAATTGCTGTGTTTATTAGGAAGATTATGTTTTCTCTGTCCAGTTTCTTTTCTGATGATGTTTTTTGAAAAATCTCTGGCAGTTTTCACTGTGTTTAAAATGTACACTGGTTACACAGAGGTGCTCTCTGTGGATGGAGTGGATAGCATGTCTGCTGTGCTCTGGGGGTGTGTGGGAGTGTTCAGTGGCAAGTGTTACTCTACCGAAATGTTTTCTAAAGTTATGCAGTGTTTTGTGTCAACATTTGGCTTGATATTTTCTCTTTTATCTCCATTTTCTAGAGGCAAGAAAAAAACAAAGATCATCAATAACAAATTTCAAGAGTATTTTGGATCTTGTTGCAGAATGTTGAAGAACAGCATTATTAACAGCTGAGTTATTGTCACAACAGTAAGAGCCCTGAGAGAATTTAGATTGACTTGGACTCAAGTTTTTCAGTGATAACAGTCACTGACAGAGTTGTTATGCTTTGGAAATTTAAATTACATGTAATTTGATAAGGTAGTGTTTTGTTTCTTTTTAAAAAAATGCTAACATAGCTGACAAAACCTTTATCAGTAACATTTATGTGGTGTGGTTTTTTTTTTAATTTAACCTTATTGAACATTTGATTTATGTAACATTTGATTTGGCTTTCTGTTTGAATATTTTTATAGTCTGCTTTATACCATTTCTAAGAAGAGGCTCTATTGCTAAAATGAATATTTTATGTCAGAAACCGATAATGTTGTGTCTGAATTTGTTTCTTCTTAATCAGTGAAATGTTTAAGGCAGGTAAAATATTTTTACATGCGGTTAAAGTGCTCTATGTGAAGAAAAGTGTATCTGTGACAGAAACCACCAAATGTGTCGTTAAACACTGTTGCGTACAGCAGGCAAAGCTTCCACTGGTCCAGTAAGCAAACTGAAATGGGCGGCTTGCCGAAATGTCAGAAGGTCTGCGTACAAGCTTCAGCGCGTGGTTCAGCTGCAGTATTTCTGGACTGATGCTAATGACTGAGATAACGTTCCTGGACCTACATAAAACACTGCATGTTGAACAAAGTAGAATGCAGGTACTGATAAAATTTGGCTTCTGCTTACAGCTGGACATTTTTTGCTGTATTATTCAAGTAATTGAGCAGAAACACTGTTTAGTCATCTAAAACTAAAAAAAAAAAAAAGAAAAAGTTTAGTCATCTTACTAGCACTAGGTTTTCACTACAGTGTAGCTTAAATTCTTCCAAGCAAGATTACTGCAAGTCTTTCAGTTTTCAGTTAAGATGGTGCCAATGCTACAGAGAATAGGTCTTCTAATATTTTCAGCTGTTGCACTTTGATTTTTATATCATTAAAATATTCAGGCATCTGTAAAAGATGTCTCTCAATGGAGCTATTCAAAGCAGCCCAGTTAAATATCGGCATATGTGTTTGCAGAATGTGAGCCCAAAGGACTACCGAGGAGCGGTGTGCACAGCGGGGATTTTGTTCTGTTACACACTCTGCCCAGTGTTTTTCCAGGGACTCGAAAGCTAGTTCAGACAAGCTGCTCTTCCATCTACTGACTGAATGTGTATTTGTCACCTGTATTATTCTGGCCTAAATGTAGTTCAGGCGGAGAAAATACGAAGCATAAATCTTTGCTTTGCACAAAGTCAGGATATCACAATACTGACCCTTCACCAAATCTTGGGTGTGATTCCTGTTGGGAAGGACCTCTGGAGCCTGTAATCTTAATGTCCCTCTCAGCGTGGGGCTCATTTCAAAGTCAGTCAAGTTGCTCAGCGCCCCGTTAAGTTCTTAAAATCTTCAAGGATATTCCTGCAACCTCTTCTGGTGCTTGAACTGCTCTGGTAGTGCAAGTTGCTGAAAACAACATCATTAGAACATTCTTGGGTAATCTGGAAGGCAGGAGTCATGGACCAGGAGCAAGCAGAAACCTGCTCCGTGAGTTACTGCAAGTCAATTCATCTTTTGCTCCCTGTTTGATTGTACAATCTTATTATCACGAATTTTCTTCGATCAAGTGCTTTGAAATGCACACCTGATGGCCGTAACAGAAGCGTAACTGCATAACCGCCGTCATTCCCAGGCTGCTTACGCTCGCCAGCGCGGGATTTTAGCCCTCAAATGCCGAACTGACTGGTGTGTCACGAAGCAAAGCATGTTTATGAGAAAACTGCAAGTTGCTTTGCAGTGGTACCGGAAGAACAAAAGCTATCGGTGGGGTGTAAGAATGCGGGTGCCAATTAAAGCTCGATTTAGTAGGAAATAACTTAAAACGGGCAATTGTCTCTAAATACATCACTCCATTCAGTTTCCACGCCACGCGCAGTGCTCTGCGCACCCGGGCCGCGCAGTTGCAGCCA